TCACGGCTGTCACAGCACAGCAGAGCCTGGGCCACCCCCTCCTGGTGTCTGTAGACAGGAGAGACCCCTGATTAGCCCAGGAAAGAGCAGGAGGGGAGGGGCCGCAGGAGCTTAGCTGAAGGGAGGCGGCAGCCCACACACAAGGGGAGTCTCCACTGTAGGTGGGAGCTCTGGGGTTGCCCCTGGGCGGGGACCTCAGGCTTCCCTGGGGCAGGACTGCGCCTCTGTGACCGCGGGGGCTCTGGGCAGCGAGGGGGCTCTGGGGCCAGAGGAGCGGAGCAGGAGGTCCATCCTGGGTCCCATCCATTCCAAGAGGTCCAGGGCCACTGACCAGCATGGTTCTCGCCATGTTCCTGTCTTTGTCTCGTCTGGTCCTGAACTCAGCCCCCAAGGGAGCACCGGCAATGCCCGCAGTCCTCCCCTGCTGGAGGCTGGGGTCCCTCAGTGTAGCTCCTCGTCCTGGCTGTGGGGCTTCCTGGGCCTTCCTGGCAGCTGCGGTGGGTCAGCAAGGCTGACAACTGGGTGGGAGAGGGAGAGAGAGCTAGGAGGAGAGGGAGGAGGAGGGAGAAGAGAGGGGCGACTTAGGGTAAATTGAAAGGCTGGGAACAGATTCTGAGCAGCCAGAACAATAGGATCCGAGGTACCAACTCGGGGGGCCTTAAGGGCCCGACTCGGGGACGACACTGATGCTCTTGTGATGCTCGGCAGCTGGAGGTGTGAGGGTGGGTGGGCCGTCGTGACCCATGGGGGGATGGTCCCTCCTGTAGGAACACAGCTCCCCCCACCCCCCAGCACGTCCAGAGCCGAGTCCCAATGCACCTGGGCCCTTGTCTGAGTGCAGTGCCTGTGATGTGTATGTGTGTGTGGGGGCTCCAACAGCCCCAGGACACACGGCATCGCTGTGCCCACACCCAGGGCCAGCGCGCCCGTCTCGGGCACCAAGCCCAGGTTGCTCTCTCCCAGGTCCAGGCTCAGACCCCTCAGACTGTCCCCGTCATGTTCTGGGTCTGCACCGAGTCCTGTCCCCTCCCTGGCCACCTTCCACGGACAAGACGGGCACGTTGGCCCTGGGCGTGGGCACAGCGATGCCGTGTGTCCTGGGGCTGTTGGAGCCCCCCCACACACACACACACATCGCAGGCACCTCCCACAGCCCAGATGGGCACCGATGGCACGTCCCCCGCTGCTGTGCCCGTTCCGAGTCTGCGTCCCCGTCTGCGTTTGCGTCTCTGCTCCCGTTCGCATGCGCGCCTTTGCAGGCAGTAAACGTTGCTTTCCCTCCTTGGAAACCGCGTCTGCTCACAGCTGCTCCGTGCGTCCGCGTGCTCAGGGCACCCGTCTCCAAGTCCCAGCCCCGCGAGGCCGGCGCAGCAGGTTGGGCAGGCCGGGGAGGGAGAGAGGGCCGCAGAGGGCAGGGGCTGGCCCCCCACTCTGCTTGGTTTTGCTGCCCACACTGAAGCGGAGACTTGGTCTGGCGGAGACGGAGGGCCAGACGTGAGCGTCCCTGGACATGATCTTGCTTCGACAGCTTCGTCTCCGTGAGGCAAACGTGTTCCCGCTTCCGGGGTGGCCTGTCCGACGCAGGAGTCTCAACTTCTCCCTCCAAGTGACACTGTGCTAACAGCTTGGCGGTCGCCTCACCCATCAAGGAGTTAAATCACGTCCTCCGTGTGTTTCGTTTTAGATCTGTCCACCGGTCACGGTTCTACCCATTGGAAAACTTGTTTTAATATGTAGGAAGAGAGCCCTGGCTGGCGTAGCTCAGTGGATTGAGTGCAGGCCTGCGAACCAGAGTATCAAGGTTCGATTCCCAGTCAGGGCACATGCCTGGGTTGCAGGCCAGTTCCCAGCAGGGGAATTTTTTTAAAATGTAGGAAGAAAATTTCTGGGGAAAAGCCTTTGTTTCGTGGGCGTGTTTCAGGCCTAGAGGAATTTGTGCTGAACTTCTTTCCTCGTGAACTTAGAAAATACAGGAGCAGAGAGTGGAAGCAGGAGACAAGTGATGCGTGACCCAGCACACACAGCGGGGGTGTCCCGTGTCCCGGTGTCCCTGGCCCTTCCCCCTCCGCCAGTCCAGTTGTGAGGTTCCAAATCCCTGCTTTCTTTTCTAGGTAAAATGGCTCACTTTTCATGGAAAATAACATCACTTTTAATGTGGTTTGTAAGCAGGTTAGGGACCATAAATATGATGTGTTATTATTAACAGCTTCAGAATTGGGCTGTAAAAGAGATCGGAATTTTATAACCTTTTAAAGCCATCCCATTATCTGCGTGAAAATGAAACCATTCCACTCTCCGAGACATTCTGACAGGGCCCCCGGGGCGGGCCCAGGATCGAAATTTCCTGATTATCAGCAAATTCCCCCGACTGCAGGCTGGGAGAGAGTTCTGTTTGTAGTTTGTAGTTTGTGAAAACTGTTGTTTCTTCCCCCCATTTGAGGGCACAGATGGGCTCTGAGGTGACGTCGACCTGCTCCAGTTGTGAACTCTGTTCCCAGACAGACATCCGAGCTTATACTTTAGCTTATGATTCGGGACGGTTTTCTGGCTGCAGGAGAAATTCCAAGCTGTGGCCCTGGAAATGAGGCCCAGTTCCAGTGACCCACTGGGGACAGCCGTCTGTCCCTTGTCCCTTTAAGAAGAGTGTGTTGGGCAGCCGGCCGGCAACTGGGCTGGAGGGCGAGGGTGTGGGGGGCAGGCGGGGAAGACCCGGTGGGTTTTGCTGATGTTGTATTTTCTGTGTAGCTCCTTCCCTTCCCTTCAGATAAGACGGCCCAGGCCCCAGCCCTGGGGACTTTCCAGGCAGAGCCTTCACCCCAGTCTGGTGGCAGACTCCAGACACACAGGGAGCGGTTCTGCGTTTCCCACGGCAGGAGCCGCCAGGAAGGGCCCACAGAGGGCAGGAGATTCCCAGTCGGGGTGCGGCCTTGGCCCCGGCGCCTGCCCTCCGCCCCCACCCCTCCCGCCGGCCACACTCGTACTGGGCTTGTTGTGGTTGGTGGGGCAGAGTTTTAAGTTCCCCCATCGGGGCGGGGCCGGCTGGGCCCGAGGTCACCGGGGAGGCAGTGCTGGGCCCTCGCAGTCCTCCGTGCCCCGATGGGGGTGGGTCAGTGCAGGGCCCTGTCCTGTGCTCTGAGCAGCCCACAAACACAGCCCCTCATGAAAGTGAGGCGCAGCACCAGGCTGGGGGGCCTGGGCCCAGGGCCACTGCCAAGGAGGCTGCACCCACGCTGGGTGGGTCCCCGCCAGGTTGCGACTTGGGGCTTCGATTTCGTGGGTTTCTCACGCCTCCATTCCCCCACCGGTGGCCTTGTGTGGCCCTGCATGGCCGCAGACCCAGGGCTCCTCCCCTGTCTGAGCATCAGTCACAGCCGGCTCGCATCAGCACAGAGGGGGGGGCAGGGGCGTCTCTCCACTTTTAGCGGATCTCAAATCCAAGCGCATTGCCACCTCACAGGCTTCTGAGACCAGGGCTGCCCCCACCCCGGCTTCAGGTTCTGAAGCCCTGGATCAGCCGTGGAGACCACCCTCCTGTGGGACTGTGGGAAGGGGCGCCAGCCGGGTTGTCCGGGGCAGCACTGCAGGTGTAGCCCAGAAGAGCAGGGTTAGAATGAATGGAGGCTTGGGGTCTTCAGGTGTGTTGTGGGCTCTCTCGAGCCAGTGTTGTGTTGTGTGGGCTCCCAAGTGTCTCTGTGGGCTCTCAGTGAAGCTTATCTGCCTGAGCCGGGCGTGCTCAGGGATGGGCGGCCCTGCGGTTTCTCAGCCGCGAGCTCTGCAGCCGGCAGGTCCAGCTGTTGGACAGCTGCCCCCTCCAGAGCTTCTCCGAGGAACCAGGACCACGCTGCCTGCCCACACGGCCCGACCAGCATTGCCCAGCGTGGCCCCGGGCGTGTGGCATTCAGACACCCGGGAGCTCGGTGTTATTGGAAGGACACAGGTGAAGAGCTGATGGACAGGCATCTCCAAGAAGGCGACTGTACTGGCAATTAGAGGAACTGGGCATGGCCTCAGGGAGGGGCGTTCTGGCCGGGGGGCTGCACAAGTGGATTTAAGAGGCCCCGTGATACGTTAATGACCCTAAGACTCTGGAGGAAGAAGGCAAGAGGACAGCACTCGTGTGGTCGCATGTGCTCATGGGGACGATCAGAGAAGATTCTAGGAGGCGATGATGGAGGCGCACTTTGGGTCTGGCCTTGCTGACCACTGGGGAACATGGGGCTTCCGTGGGGCACACCAGGACAGCTTCCAGAGGGGGAGGTCATGCTGCAGTCTCCTGCAGAGGGGGCGGCTCGGCGGGTCAGCCGACCCGCCTCAGTGATGAACAAGAGCTGAAGGCGAGAGAGCGCCCCGAGCAAGCAGGTTAGAGGTGCCCGGCGTGTTGGTCGGGAGTCCATCCACCCAGTTCCTCCTGCCAGCAGCCTGCCTTCTGGGGCGGCTGCCGGGTCCCCGAGCCTCTTGGTGTCGGTCACTGGAGGGGGCTCTGCCTCTCATCCGGGCAGAGGGGCGGGTGCCGTGCACCCTGAGCTGGCACCCGACCTCTTGGGTGAGAGCAAGGGTCCTGGGAGCAGGGTCCGGGATCCACCGACTGTCCCTTCTTCTGCCCGTCCACTCAACAAGTGTTTAGTAGGCGCCTGCCGGGTGCTGAGCACCAGGCCAGGCCCTGGGGTGCAGCAGAGGGGGGACAGCCACAGGCTGCCGTGCGCACCTCTGACAGAGACAGAAACTGAGCGATTTCACACAGGCCACCTGCGACCAAGGCTGCGTGCAGGGAAATAGCAGGGTGGGGTGGGAGAGCAGGCGGTCCCTCAGGGGGACTCACGAGGAGCAGAGACCTGGGGGCGGGAGGCCGACTTGGGGAAGGAGTATCCTGAGGGACGGGCCTGCGCTGGCCCTGGCGGACCATGGCCCGCTGAGAGGGGCAGCTTTGCACCTCGCGGCTGCGGGGTGCAGCTATCACCCGGGGGCCTGGCGTCACGAAGCATGCCATTCTCTCATTGCAGACGGACAGGCAGCACCGCCAGGCCGCCAATGAGAGCAACCGTGTCTTCCTGTACTGCGCCTTCCTGGACTTCAGGTACTGCCCGCGGGGGCCAGAGGGCTGGGGGTCGCCACCAGCGTGCCCGGGGCCAGGGCCTCCGTGAGGAAGCAGACCTCCCCCCTTCCTGATAAATGGAGACAAGCTCTTGGGCCCATTTATCAGTGATATAGGGACGGACGTGGCGGCTCTGCTCACGGAGAGCATGCATGTTTCCTGCCTTAGACATGATGAACATTCCGTGTTCCACCCCCGTTGGTCCCCATCCAGTCGCCTGTGTCTCCCACCTTCTAGGTGGCCACTCCCCAAGGTGGATCCTCATCTCTCAGTGGTCACCCGACATGCCCAGCGCGTGGGGCTCAGAGGCACCCTGGAGGGGACGCTAGGCTGTCACACTCCCTGTTTTCCTGAACATCGGCCCAGACGCCGTCCAAAGTGACTGGCCAAGTGGCCGGACCATGTCCCTATCCCAGAAGGAGCTCCCGTGTCCCTGTGGCCCACCGACCCCACCCGGTCCTGCCCTCGGCAGTGGACCATGGGGACAGCTCTCCGCCCGAGGCCAGGGTGCGTGCTGCCCCCACCCACCGTCTCGCCATCTGTCCGCAGCTCTGGGCAAGGGGTCTGGTCGAACGAGGGCTGTGTCCTAGCAGAAGGGACCCTGGGCTACTCTGTCTGCCGCTGCACGCACCTCACCAACTTCGCCATCCTCATGCAGGTGGTCCCGCTGGAGGTAAGATCCCAAAGGGGTGCCCTTTCTACGTAGGACTGGGGGCGGAGCCAGGGCTGTCAGCCCTGGGCGCAGACGGGAGGCTGTGCCTCTTTGGCAGAAATCATCTTCGCTTCAGGGGCCCCCGGGCAGACCCCCGAGGGGGCAGGCGCACCAGCATTTTCAGCCTCGGGTCCCGTGCTGCTGGGGAGGCCAGCCCAGTGAGGTCCTCGACCACAGCCGGTGTGTGAGTGTCTGGGGTGGGGAGTTCCCCTTGGGGCACATGTACGCGGGGTGTCTCCATGGAGGCCTGAGCGTCCTGCCAGAGACTGGAGGTGCTGGACAGCAGGCCAGGCCCTGGGCCTTCTGAGGCCTGACTTCCAGCTGGGGTCAACGAGCCCCTCTGGTGGGAAGGGACTTCCGGTGACCTAAGTAGGCCCCTGGGTCTGCCCTGGAGTCTCAGGCTGAGGAGAGTGGGGACCCCTCGCGCTGGGTCTGAGGGTTTCTCGGTGGCGCCTGCCAGGACCCAGGGGCTGGAGACGCACTGCTCAGGTCTAAGGCAAACCATGCTTGTGAGGGAAGAAAAAGCCCCCGAGCCCAGTGTGGCCCCAGAGGAAACGGATGTCTGTGGTGGGGGCAGCAGAGCAGGGGGTGGAAGGCTCAGCCCAGGACCTTTGTCCCGCGTCCACGGAGAGCCAGGCCCCGTGGACGAGTTCTGTTCCGCCCTGCTCGCAGACATGCCGCATGGCCCCTGGCCCCTCGCCCGAGCTTCCGGGAAGAGCCGGTGTGCGGCCCTGGCCGGCGGCCCGGCTGGTCAGAGTGTCACCCCGTAACCAGAAGGTTGTGGGTTCCGTCCCCTGGTCCAGGCTCGTGTGTCTGGGCACGTACGGGAGGCGGCCAATCGATGTTTCTCTCTCCTTTCCTCTCTCTAAAAGCCACGAAAAGAGATGTCCTCGGGTGAGGATAAAATAAAACTTGTTTTTAAAGAGTGAGGCGGGCAGGCTGCTTGAAATCCCAGCCAGGCCTGAGCTGAGACCTGCACATTTACACAGTGTCCTTCGGGCCGTGAGCTCCGGAGTTTCGGAAGGGCCATTCTCAGATCCGGCCGTGGGGGCGTGTACCCCTGGTTCACCCAGCGCCCTTGGTGGTACACCTTAGTGCAGGCACAGGTGACCCCCAAACACCCCTGTGGCAGCATTTTCTTTAAGGGGTTACGTCTGGGGAGCAGCTGCTCCCATGTGAGTGAGGGGCTGCCATCTTCACTGTCACAGTTGGGGGTTGGGGGACTTCTCCATGGTCACTGGAGGCTGAGCCTGGCCCTGAGCCCCCCAGGCCACTCAGGTGCATTGGCTCTGTCCGCCGTGTGCGTGGTGGGCGGGGCGGGGCGGAGGCGGAGGGAGGGAGGCCACTGCATCCAATGAGATAAAAAAAACCCAGCGAGACCCTTTATGGCTGCAAATCTGTTACCACTCCGCAGAGGTGACCAGATTTAGACTGTCTGTGGGTGTCTTTTCAGAAGCAGATCCTGTCTACTCACTGCCAGGGAAGGTTGCTTTGAAAATGGTTTAAAATTAAACACACTAAAACCAAATCTTCTCAAGAAAGGTTTCAAAAAAAATGAAGACAGCTATCACTGTAGACAGCAAATCTGTGCAGCGTTCAGAGATCTGACGCTAACAGCCAGGGCGACCGCACTCTGAACCCTGAGCCCGCATCTGCCTGAGCTCTGCCCTGGCGTGGGGACAGGCAGGGTCCAGGTGGATGACCAGGGCAGACAGAACCCGGAGCAGTGCCTGCCACGCACTGGCACCCCCAGGAGAACCCACGTCACAGAACTGAGGGAATCGGTCCTGAAGATAACGTTATCTTCAGGGTGGAGAGTGCAGGAGGTGCAGCCCCTTGTCTGGGGGGAAAGGCCCGGTAACAGAGGCATTGGGGCCACGGTGGAGCGTTGCTCAAATTCCGATCCGTAGACGCCGCACCTCCGCGCTAACGGGGATGACTAATCAGGAGATGATACACACTCATTGAGGAGTGAACTGCAGTCATGCCAACTGACTTGGAGGGATTTCCAAGGCTTCCTTATGTGGAAGGGCCAGTCGGGTGGGGGCAGGGGGAGGAATGGTGATAGTCGGCCATGGCTGCAGGGAGTGGGCGTGGGGAAGGTGGTGGGGGCTGGCCCCTGAGTGGGCGGGGGTCCCAAAGGCCACGCAGTGTGGCCGCTCTTCCCCAGGTGGCTGGCCCCCTCTGCATGGCCAGGCCCTGCGCCCCCTGCCTGCCCCCAGCTCCTCCGGTGGGCTCACGACAGCCGTCCTGGTAGCTGCAGCACTTTGCCAGGACAGGGAAAGCCCGCTGGGACCGGGCACAGAGCAGGGAGCCTGGGGGCTGGGCCCGGCAGCCGGGAGGGGTGCTCAGTGAGACCCCGCCCCCAGCCCTGGTCGGGGACTGACCTTGGCCGGTGGGTGTGTTTTACCCACACAGGCTTAAAAAATAGCTGTTGGGCTATTTCAAGACTCAGATATGTGTCCTAAGATTTTGGATTTCTTTTGTGGTTTTTTTTTAAATTTAAATGAAGTTGAGGACTTCCATGTCTGCCCGAACAGCCACTGCCCACTGCTGGCAGGGCCCTGTCCCCGCCCGCAGGCGAGGTCCTGCCCTTGGGGGTCAGCACTGGGTTTTGTACGTTTCAAATGCTCCAGACGGCCCCACCCCACCTCGTGCCCCCGCCCCCCCCCACCTGACCCTCCCCCAGCAGGAGCGCCTGGCCCTGCCCCCTTGTCTGCACTGAGTGTCCACAGCCAATAGGAGGCGCTGTTGGGCTATTGAGCCCCCCCCAGTCCCCACGGCCCTTCTCGCCCTCCTGGGGGGGATATGTTCTTTCCCATTTCTTCTGGGGAGGAAACGTGTTCCCTGAGAGGGACTCCTGTTAGAACAGCGGAGGAGAAAGATGCTTCTTCACGGAGGGATGGTCCCCTCGTCTCTATCTGCACAGCCCACCGGCCTCCGGGCCCACGTGCAGTGTCTGCAGGCTGAGCTGCCAAGGCTGGTGGGCTCCGGCCCAGAGGACCTGCGTCCTAGAGCCAACCCAGCTCTTCCTGGCATTTCTAGACCCAGCCGGGGGCGGGGAGAGAAAGGCCACTGCTGGCATGAGCACGCCTCTGAGGCCACCCCACCGCCTGCCCCCCCGCCCGGGGGCCCCCTTGAGCGTGTGGGTCACTTGCTCAAGCAACTCCCAGGAACACCTACTGTGCGCAGCTCTGCTCCCTGACCGGGCGCTGCCTCTGCACCCGCAGATGCTTGGGGTCCCTCCCCCACTCTGTGGCTTTGTGCGGGGCCTGCTTGGAGCCTGGGCTTCCTGTCTGCGAAGCGGGTGGACCCCCTCCTCCTGGGGTGGGGGGGGTCAGACACCTCCCAGCCCGTGCAGCACCATCCCCCCAACAGCTCCCCTGTCTGCATCCCTGCAGCTTCGCCCTGTCCCCGGAACCTTCCCTGGACCAGACTCCCGGCTCTTTGAAAAGCGGGGGTTTCTGACACTCCCTTGTGGCTCTGTGCCCCCTAACGCATCTCCCACGTTTGACTCGGTCTCTTCCGGGAGGATGGGGCGTTAGCAAAGTCCGCCCGCACTCGCACACGGTGCACCTGTGTCCCCGCAGGGCTGTGGCACGTCACACGTGTGCCATCACCGGCTCCTTACGCCACCAACTGGGTCCCGTGTCCAGGTCCTCAGCTGGGGCGGGGCCGCCTGGGACCGAGCCCGTGGCCCCTGGTCCGGCTCTTCAGCAAGCCCAGCGCCTCCTACTGGCTGTGGACACTGCAGTGCAGACAAGGGGGCAGGGCCAGGCGCTCCTGCTGGGGGAGGGTCAGGTAGAGGCTGGGGGGGGAGGGACACGAGGCGGGGTGGGGCCGTCTGGAGCATTTGAAACGTACAAAACCCAGTGCTGACCCCCAAGGGCAGGACCTCGCCTGGCGGCAACAACAGGACCTTTCAGAGGAGAAGCAGGACTGAGGGGTCCGCACTCACAACGGACGGTGGCTGCCTCCCGCTCAGCTGTGCACTGGCCGGGCTGCAGCCACAGGGACCCCTGTGCTCTGCTTCCCCCGCAGCTCACACACGGACACCAGGTGGCGCTCTCGTCCATCAGTTACATCGGCTGCTCCCTGTCCGTGCTCTGCTTGGCGGTCACGCTGGTCACCTTCGCCATGCTCTCGTGAGTCACCTCCCACTCATCCGGGACCCATGCCCCGGGAAGCCCGGGGGCTTTGTGCAACGTGAGCGCTCCCCTCCCCCTTTGATCTCGTGAGCTGGCGAACGCCCAGACCTGGACTGTCACAGCCAGGTGGCGGCTCTGAGTCGCTGCTCATGTTGAGACCTGGGGTGCAGGGAGGGGGCTGGGGGGTTGCTGGGGGGAGAGGGAAGGTCTGGGGCCTGTGGCGTTGGAGGGCACTGGCTTCAGCTGAGCTGGAAACTTCTGGGACAGGCCCGCAGGTGGCTGGCCGGGTGAGAGCCAGAACCGATACCCCCACCTTTACCCCCACCCAGCAAAGACATCAAACTGGCCACAACTTGTGGGGGCAGAGAAGTGAAATGGGGGGCATGCTTCAGGGGGGACCGTGAAGCCCCAGACCCCAGACCCCAGGCCACAGTGTCCCTCGCACCGGGTGTCACCCCACCCCCTGGGGCTGCGTGCGGGGTCTCCCCTGGAGTCCTGCGCCCCCTCCCCTGCCTGGCACCTCAGAGGCTCTGTGGCTCCGGGTTCAGATTGGCCAGTCAGGAGTTTTGAGTCAGGCGCAGGTACAGGGGACATCTGAGGAGGCCCCGGGGGATCTGAGCCGGGCGGGGGCACGAGCGTGGGTCTGGAGGGACCCACTGTGCTCAGCACACTCCGGCTCGGGTCTCTGGTTCATCAGCTGTTTGCTCAGCACAGCACACCCCCTGGGTGTGGTCAGCTCTGGGGGCACAGCAGTGCCCAGGACAGATAAGCAGGGCCCAGCGATGAGCAGGGTGGGGAGGCACAGACACTGGTGTCCCAGCCGTCAGCGCCAGGTGAGGACAGCCGTGGAGTGAGCACATGGTGCTCCCTCATGGGGAGGGACGTCTGTGCCGCAGGCATGGCCCTGGGGTGGGAGGTGGCCTGTGTGGAGGCCGGGGTCTGGAGCAGGCTGGAGCCAGGAGCCAGAGGGGCTGCATCTGGGCTCTAGTGGCTCAGGCAGGGCAGGGCCGTGCCGGCCGGGGGAGCCTCCGAGGGCCCACCTTCAGGAGCCGCGGCACCTGGCCCGGCTCCCCAAGGCCTCTCTGGGCCCCACGGGGACTGTGGGGAGCAGCCGGCCCTGCCCCCGGGCTCACCGCGCCCTCCGCCCTCACTCAGCTCTGTCAGCACCATCCGCAACCAGCGCTACCACATCCACGCCAACCTGTCCTTCGCCGTCCTGGTGGCCCAGGTCCTGCTGCTCATCAGCTTCCACTGCCAGCCAGGCACAGTGAGTGGCCCTCCGTCACCCCTCTGACGTCACAGGGGGCAGCGCCTTCTGCCGGCCACCCTTCTTCCACTCACAATTCAGACATTCCTCCCGGGAGCCAGGCCGCCGTGCCGCCAGGGAGACAGCAGACGACACGCTGGCCAGTCTCTGTGCTCGGCACCTGGGCCGCCAGCCGACACCTTTCGGTGGACAGACAGCAGCTGCAGGCTCCTGGGGCCGGCCCGTCACCGGGCTGCTTCCTCCGGCCCCGAGCCCTGCCCTTCCCACAGGCCCCCCGCTCCGGGGCAGGCTGGCTTCCAGAGCTCCAGGCTCCCGTCCTCAAGTCTGGAGGGAGGAGGGACACCTTGGTCACCTGCAACCCCCCTGGACCAATGGGTCGTGTGCCTCCCCCGAACCAGCCCTGTTAGAGGAGGGGGTGTTTATGCTGATTGTCCAGGTCCGATCCCACACCTGAACCAAGTGCTGTGCCCAGGAGGGAGCAGGTGCAGTGATCACCTGCCCCGTCCAGATCAGCCTGGAAACGGCAGCCAGGCCACCCGGGAAGACCAGCAGGCTGGGGGGGACCAGGAAGATGCCCTGGAAGTGGCTGCTGGGAGGCGGAGCCAACCGGAGCCCAGAGAGCCCACCGTGCCTCTCGGCTCCGCCCCCAGGTGCCCTGCCGGGTGCTGGCCGTGCTCCTGCACTTCTTCTTCCTCAGCGCCTTCGCCTGGATGCTGGTGGAGGGCTTGCACCTCCACAGCATGGTGGTCAAGGTCTTCGGCTCGGAGGACAGCAAGCACCGCTACTACTACGGGATAGGATGGGGTAGGTGCGCTGGGCGGGGGGCGGGCTTTTCTCCCCACTCGGTCCTTCTGTGCACCTGGAGGAAGCAAGACGTCCAAACAAAAGCGCACATGCCAGCGTCCCCAACTTGCTTTACAAGCTTAATTGTATTGGTTTTAACTATTTTCTTGATTTTTTTATTACCTGGCTTGTTTATTTCTGCCACGGTCTTCGTTATTTCTCTCCTTCCTCTTGCCTGTGGTCCCGTGAGCTCCTCTTCCTCCCTCGTGTGAGAGGGTGGGCTGGCTGGCCTGAGACCCACCTTCTGTCTGGAGCGCAGGCGCATGCAGCTGCAGACCCCCCTACGCACTCGTCTGCACTGTGGGTTTGGTCGAGGGGGGGGGTTCAGTTTCATTCCTCTGAACGTGTTTTCTAACCTGCTCTTGGATTCCCCTTCTGACTCATTGACTGTGGTGTGGAGCGTAATTCCCACGAGCAAGTGCCCTTGGGCTCGGGAGGGAAGGAGCTGGAGTGTGAGGTGTCGCAGGGACTCAGGAAAGGGGACGGGACAGTGTGTGCCGGTGTCCTGGCAGAGAACAGGCAGCCGTGGTGCGGGGAGTTCCTGGTGATGGCGTCGCTGGGCCCCGGGCAGCGGCCAGTGCCCCCAGGGTCCTTCACCTGCGCAGGTGCCCTGTGTTCTTCCCACCCCAAGAGAGGCCCTCAGACGCTGCAACGCCCCCGGTGTGGCCTCCTCAACCTGGGGACTCTGGGTGTCCAGGCAGGAGCCACAGCCAGAGGTGTTTGACACCAAGGGAAGCTCTGCCTTCACATAGGCCGAACTCACACGTACATGCCGCAAATGTGACAAAGGTCCTCCGTGACAGGAACCGTCCCCCAGCCAGCGTACCTCTGCCGCGCAGCCTCCAGCCCCCTTGTGGGCACAGGGCCTTCTTGTCCCGATGCTCCAGAACACACTGAAATGGTTCTGACGTCAGAACAAAGTGGTTCAGGGACAGCACGGTCCTCCAGAAACTTCTCCTAAGGAGCTGATTTAAAACTGATTCACAGTAGCCCCCTTGGCCACGGTTTCCCTCCCACAGTGTCAGTTACCTGCCATCAACCGTGGTCCAGAAAGATTAAGTGGAAAATTCTGGAAACGAACAACTCACACATTTTCAGTCGAGCGCCACTCCAGGTCGTGGGACGGGATCCCTGCGAGCAGCCTCTCCTCGCTGTGGCCACTCCCCACCATCAGTCACCAAGCGGCACCCCGGTTCTCAGGTGCACCCCCATCGAGGGGTCGTGGTGCTTCTGTCCAGGAAGGCCTCGTTCAAGCACTTTGATTGCAGCAGTCGGTGCGGCCGCCGTGCCGTGATGCCGTTGCTGCTCATCTCTTGCTGGGCCCGGTTTATATGTTGAACTTTGTCGGAGGCATGTCTGTGTGGGGAAAAAATGAGTACGTACAAGGGTCAGCGCTGACCTTGGCTTCAGGCGTCCTCCGGGGGTCTCAGAATGTTGCCCCCACGGATAAAGGGGGATGACAGTGCTCAGAAGGGCTGGTGTGTGGCCAGGACAAGCGTCCCCTCTCCTTCCTCCGGAGCAGAGATCTCCTGGGGGCCGTGCACACTCAGCCCCCCGGCGGGCGGCGCAGAGGGCTGCTGCGTTTTCAGTATTTTCACCCGTCCCCACCCTTTCACTCCAGGAATAATCAGGAAGCCACTTCCTTGTCCCAGCTGGTTCGACGGCACAGCCTCTTAGAGGGTCCCCAGGTGGCACAGGGGTCAGGACCGTTTGCTGTGTCCCCCCTCGCCCACACCGTTCACAGCAGCAGGGAGGGGGGAGCATAAGGCAACCAGACGGGGTCGTTTGGTGCCTCGGGCCCAGGGCCCCGCCAGCTGCCGGAAGTGGGCCATTTGCAGAAATGGAACTGGATTTGTAACAGGCCTGCCTCAGAGTCCACGTCTGTGACTGCACGTGTGCCTGTCTCTGTGCATGCGTGGGCACACGTGTGTGCTGCCTCTTCACTCAGACGGCAGGTGCCCCGAGGACCGGCGGCTGTGTCCGCGCCCAGCGTGTGGCCGTGTGTGCGTGTCGGGTAAGACGTGCACAGTGGACCCAGGCCGGCGGGCGCAGGCTGACTCGGGTCCCGCTCTCGCCCCGTCCAGGTCTCCCTCTTCTCATCTGTGCCGTCTCGGTGTCCTGCTCCTTGGACAGTTATGGGACCAGGAACAAGTAAGAGTGGCTTGTGTGTGGCGGGGCGGTGCCCAGGCCGGCCCTGTGCCGTGCTGGCCGCCCCCTGCGCGGAGGTGCCGGGGCGGGAGCCGGGCTGCCGGAGTGACGGTCTGCCTCCCTCCACAGCTGCTGGCTGTCGCTGCAGAGTGGCGCCGTCTGGGCCTTCGTAGCCCCTGCCTTGCTCGTCATTGTGGTAGGTCCTCGCCCCCCGGGGCCAGGGCTGGGCGGGGGTGGCGGGGGCTGGGGACCTGGGGAGCCCTGGGCCTCCCCCCGGGTGGGCCCGGTCCCTGAGACGGCTCCCACCCGGTGAGTGTTTCTCCTGTCCCCTCCTGGGGGTGTGGCCCGGGCTCCGGCCCCCGTGGTTCTCACCACACTCTGTCGTGGTCAAGGAGCCGAGGGGCTGGGGCCATGTCAGGGAGGGCCAGCAAAGGCCTCCGACCCACGCACAATAGTGGGAACTCCTGTGGCTCCGGACACGGGAGACCCCGCTCAGGGTGGAACAGAAAAGGGGCTGTAAGTCCACGGTCAGGGGCACGTGCCAGCCCTGGGGGTGCTGGGATTCAGAGACGCCCCGCCTGAGTCTCGGCCTCCCCTCCTCGTGGACGCTTTCCTGCAGGCTGGCTCCTTTCTCCAACGGGTTGTTCCTGTACCGGTGACAAACCCCGGGTCACACGAAATGCCGGTAACAACTCTATGGGGAGAAAGGCCTTTGTTGTTCCCTCGATGGGGCTGGGACCCCAGAGCACATGTGCCTGCCCCCCAGGCCACAGCCCCTGAGGGGCGTGGGTCCGCCCTCCGGTGAGGGACCGATGCCAACAGGTGTAGGAGGGGACACCTCCCAGTCACACGGCACCTTCAAAGGGGCCCCTCATCCAGGCCACACTGACTGCTCTCCTCCACACCTGTCCCCTGCCAGGTGGCGGGCTCTGGAGTGTCCAAAGGCAGTAGGTCATTTCCTTGGTGACACGTGGCCCTTCCAGGCTCCTGGGTCCTCCGTAGCCACAGTGTCATTCCTAGAAAATGAGGCTGGCGGTGCTCCCAGCTCTGGGGCCTGTGTGGGCCCATCACGTGCTCTGTGGGGTTCCAGTCGGGCCCTGAGGGGGGGTGACAGGGAGACGAGGCTGTGTGGACAGGGGCCATCGTCCCCCCATGCCGACCACACCTGCCCTGCTGTGCGGGTGCTGCTCAGGACAGGCGTGGGTGAAGCTGGAGGTCTGGCCCCCGGAGGCGCTGGCAGGGGTCAGGTTCACCCCGGGCTCCCTGGCGCGGGGCTGCGGGCGCAGGGGCCCTGCCGTCCCTCACAGCCCCGGCCCCTCCTACCTGGCGGGCGCCCCTGTCCAGCCACCTTCCTGCCCTGTCTTTGCACCTGCCAGCCCCGGGCAGTGCCTGGATGTTCTCTGTCCTTGTCACCAACAGTCAGAATCATGTCCCTGTGCCACCTCTGCGAGTGAGGGGACCACACCCCGCTCTGTAAGGGAAAGTCCTTCCGTGAAGGACAGGGGACCGGCCCGTCGGCAGACACTGAGACAGTGTCCTTCAGTTAATCCTGCCCAGCTGGGAGGCAGCGCGTTGCCGTGGTGACGCGTCATTGAGCTTTCAAATCCAGGGCTGTCCCCTGTGCCCGGGGCTGCCCAAGGGAAGTTCATCCGTAGTCACTTTGTCACCAGCCTTTCCAGGGTTACAGGGCTCCCCGTTGGAGGTCCCAGGCTCCCTGCCTCCGCTCTCTGGGGTCTGGCAGAGTCCTCACCCTCCCCGGGCATCAGTCTCCCGCAGTAGCTCCGGGCCTGGCCATTCGGGAGGGAGATTTATAGAAAGACAATGACGAGTTTCCAGGCGAAGTGCATTTGTAAGTCCCGCACCCCTGTCCTCCCCCACCCTCCATCCCACTCACCCTGTCCGTCCCATCTGCAGCCCCGGGCAGGCCGGCCCCTCCCAGGGGTTTCAACTGATTCCAGTTTCCCTCCGACCTTGGGCAGCGCCAGCACGGGTCTGGGGGCCGCCTGCCCAGGTCCGGCCCCAGGAGCCCAGCACCGCCGAGTCCTCTAAGCTTGCTGGCGCCCTGCTGGCGTTCCTGAGGGGGCGTGACCTCCAGACCCATGCACAGCCTAGTCCTCAAGGTCAGGCTCCCAGGCAGTTTTAACCTGGAGGCAATTTGAGGTCCACATTGCTCTCCAGGAAAATTGGACTCATGGGACAGTGGGGAGGGCAGAGTGGGCTGCAAAGGGGGTTCATGGTCTTGTCATCAAGTGGGACAGTCAGTAAGTGTGGCCTGAGATGGCCCACTGCCCACTTTTGTGAGTGGGGTTTTCCTGGCCCACAGCCCGTGTTTAGGATTAGCCGTGCTGCTCTTACCCTGTAGGACAGACCGGCCCGCAAAGCCCGAGACGTTCACCACCTCGGCCTTGACAGGAGGGTGTGTGGACCCCAGGTCTGAGGGGTGCAGTGGGGGGTCCCGGGACCCACTCCGCTCCCGCTTTGTCAGGCCTCGCTGTGGGGGCGGGGAGCACCCCTTCCCCTCAGAGGGCCTCTGGTGGTGCCACCGGAGTCTGGCCCCCGTTTCCACAGGGGCCTTTGCTCACTTGTCAAGTGACGCCGCAAGACTCAGAGTAACAGCTGCATCAGGCCCCGGGCTTGTCTGGGGCATGTGCGCGTTCACGCGTGCCGGCACTTTCTAGGGGAGCGCGTGCACCGTCCGTGTGGGTGCTGTGTGTTCTGCTGAGGTTCGTCCCGAAGGGTCACTGGGGGCCTGCAGGGCCTGGAGCCTCTGCTGGTAACAACCTGTCCGGCCACCTCCCACCAAATACACACCCGCCAACTGTCCCTCGAGGACCTGCTCTCCCCAGTCATTCCCTGGGGGACTTCAGTCAGGCCCACGGCATCCATGCCCCGGGACCAGCAGGCGTTACAGAAGCCTCACAGTCTAGGCCCCTGAGAGCAGGGACCCTGTGGGTGGCCCTTCTCATACCTGCGCAGAAGTCAGGGTGTCTGTGTCTATATACAGTTGTGCGGATACAGAGTCACAGATCAGAGACACGGATACAGTTCCAGAAACAGCTACAGACCCAGACACAGATGCAGTTGCGTGGATTTGGAGACAGTCACACAGACGTAGATAGTTGCATACGCTTGAGCACAGACAGTTACATAGAAACACAGTTGCAGACTCACAGGTACAGGCATGGACAGAGGCAGTTACCGTTGCAAGTGAAGAGACAGTGATAGACACCAAAGCGCACACGTGATGTAGTCGTAGAAACAGGCGTGTCTACACCCCGCGGTGCTCTCTGTAGGTGTGTGTGTTTGCACGCACCACTCTAGCACTGTGAAACACTGCTGCAAGCCTCGGTGATTCTTCACAAATAAACGCCGCGTAGCCTCGAGTCCGGCCAAGACACAGAGCACGCTCTGGACCTCAGTCATCCCCTTCTCCCACCCGAGGTCCCCAGGATCTGGAGTGCATACCCCCCAGCTTTTGTTTGGCTGAAATGCAGCTGGAATAATGTCCCCCGCAAGCAGACATCATTCCTCAGCGTGTGTCATAAATAGCTCACTGGCTGACCTCGCGTGGAGATGCCCAGCTGATGAAATAACCACATTCACGTGCCATGCGCCCCACCCCTGGGCCTCCACCAACTTGCAGCACAAAGCAAGATGGGGGCCGTGCAGCGAGGGGCCAGGCCTGCTTCCGTGTGTTTCGTGAAATCCCAGGTTGGTCTTCCACGCAGGCGCCGGCTCCCTCTGAATCGCACGCTGGCGGGGGATCAGAGGTTAGCTGTGCTCCTCATAATGCCGCAGCGGATGTGATCGTCCTACTAACGAGGGGAAGCGTGTGTGCAAATGAAGTCAGACCAGCCCAGGCTGAGAGGGAGGGGCCGGGAAACAAACCACCCGCGGGGCCTTGCAGAAACCGGACGATGATGATGACGAGGACTAACAGCCGATGACACCTGACTGTCAGCCAGACCCTTCCTTCTGGGTCTTGGGAAGGCCAGCACGTGACACAGGAGTCTGACCACTCACTCGTAGCATTGTTATGCTTGTAAAACGCTTGGCCACAGTTCGATCACCCGTTCAGTGACCCACCGCGCAGGTGGAAACGGCAGCCTGTGCGTGGAGCTCCGCACTGGGAGCCCGGAGCAGCACGCTCCTAGTCACCCAGCAGCAGGGGGTGGTGACGAGCCCTCCAGGCTCCCTGGGGTGTTCGAGCTCCTCCCCAGGGGCTGCCAGGCGTCCCTCTCCCTGCTCCCAGGCTCCACACTGTCCTTGTGCCCTTCCCCCAGTCTCTGGGGCACTTCGAGTTTCAGCCCCTCTTCCTCCTGAGCCCAGGGACGCTGCTGCGACTTTCATGGGGAGAAGGGTTTATGTAATTTCCCTTTTAATTTAGCGGAAATTTAGTCAGGTCACTGGGTTTGAATTCTAACGCACGTGGGCAGACATTTGGAAGAAAAAGCGTTTTAACACGTGAGCAGCCTCTGTGCACGTTGTCTGTCTTGCTTTCCCACTGCCCACGAGCAGGCTGGCCCTGGAGCCAAGCCCCTCGCAGGCCAGGGGCTTCGTGAGGACGAGGGGATGTGGACGCCGCCCACCGCTCCGGGCTTCTCCACGCAGAGCCTACTGTGCCATGTTTCGGGGGCCCCGGAAGAGCTCCCTGCCTGTACCCCACCCTGAGTGGGCGGCCAGGTGGCTCCCCATCTGTCGCGACAGGCCAGGCCTGGGCACCTGCGGGGGTGTGAGGATCCGGGAATCTTGCGGGGGCGGCAGCGCGCTCTCCCAGAATGCACAGCAGCCGTGGGTGGACGATGCCTGCAGACACCAAGCCATCCGGCACTGGAGAAGTTACCCAAAGAGACAGAAGCCAAGAGCATTTATTTGAGAGAAAAATGGCCGGATCTCGGTGACAGCGGCAGGGTCTGCAGCACCGTGACCCACCCATGTGTGTGACGGAGGCAGAGCCCGTCCAGGCAGACGCACGGTGGCCGCCCGGTTCAGACACAAGCCGTCCTCAGACGCTCACGCCGTTGTCTGCTACTGCAGCCCCCACCCCTGAATCGTGACAGGGCCTCAGGGACCCCCGCTGGCACCCCCTCCCCTGATCTGGCGGAGTGTGGCTCTCCTGTGGCCAGAACCCAGCTGGCAGCGAGGGGGTGCAGGTGCACAGGGGTCAGACACCCACGCCCCGACACTGGGTACCTCCGCAGGCCCCCTCACAGGACAGGTGCGCCCCGGGGACCAGTGCAGCGCGGTGAGCACTGGGGTGGAGCTGCGGGGGAGCCGCTCCATCGAGGCCAGGAGCCGGACTGAAAGACCCGCCCCTGGTGTTCACCTGCCCGTTGCGCAGGGCGCATGGGGCCAGGCAGGGACCCCAGGGTCCCGTTTCCCAGCAACAGCACGGAGGGCATCTAAAGGCTCCTGCTGACCCGGAGCTGCTGTGGGGACAGGGGCCGGGGAGGGAGGAGCTGGCTGGGCCCCTGAGGCGAGGCCGCCCCAGTGCAGGTGCCTGGAAAGGCCTCAGGCTCCGCCCCCACAGGAGGCCTCGGAGGGCAGTTGCCTGCGCTGCGGGGCGGGGGGAGGGGGGTGAGCCCCCGCCCGCAGGTCCCTCCAGAGCCCTCAATGCTGTGCTGTGCGCCAGGACAGGTGGGGGACAGACCACTGCCCTCCTGTGTCACCGCCTGCGGCCAGCCCACGAGGTCACACCTGGGGTCTTGGCCTTGCTGACCCTGTCGGTGACCTCAGAGTCTTTCAATGTGAGGGAGAGATTGCTGACCTCTGCCCAGCCTGAGTCAAGTCTGGACCTTGCGGCAGAGGGGAACTGGGGGACTGTCAGCCCTTATTGTCACTGGCTCACCCAGCCTCTCACTCAGGACCCGCCCACAGGAGGGGACAGGTTATTCTGGAGCCCCCGGCCCCCCTGCAGACCCCACAGGGAGCCTTCCGGCAGGTGTCCCACAGGAAGTGGGCCTGGGGCAGCAGGTCCAAGGACTGGGTCGGGCCCAAGGAGCCAGGACGTGTGCTGGGGCCCTCGCAGGGGCTTCCTGGCCCTCTCAGTGGTCACCGAGCATGGCAGTCATTACTTTCTGTCACCGAGTGGGGAGACTGAGGTTCGGGGGCGTGTGTCACTCCCCAGGGTGACGCAGCGAGCCCGTGCTCAGGGCTGTGGGAGCCCCAGGGCTCTGTCCCCTGTGCCGTCACTTCGAGGCACAGACATGAACCCCAGAGGGCAGGGCTCAGGGACATGGGTGGCACCTCTCCTGAGTGACACCTCCGGCCGGGGCGGCAGCATCCAGGGGAGGCCGGTGCTCCGGCAGCAGCTCCAGCACTGCCCTTCCCTCCCGTCGGCCCGCAGGTCAACATCGGCATCCTGGTCGCGGTGACCAGGGTCATCTCGCAGATCAGCGCCGACAACTGTAAGGTCCGCGGAGACTCTGGTGCCTTCAAGTAAGTGGCCACAGAGGGCGGCTCAGGTGGCAGGAGAGCGGGCCACCACTTCTGTCCTCGCCGTCCCCCCAGGTGTCCTCGCCTGGCCCCTTATTCGGTCCCTGTGACCAGGACCAGCCCCTCCCGCAGCCTCCGCGCCCCACCACCGGAGAGGGGGCTTCTGGGTGTCCCCCTGGGGACTGCCTCCCACGTGGGAAGGTGGTGGGTGTGGGCTCACGCGGAGGGACCCAGAGCCCACGTGCCCAGGGCATTGCCACCTCCACCCCTGCTGTCTGCTGGGACCGCGTGACGTGTGTGACCCCAGAGGCCTCGCTTCCCTCATCTGGGGGGGGTGACAGCAGACGTCTCGTGGGGCTGCCCCGTGGAGGGACGTCCTCGGAGAGCGGCCCCCAATGTGCTCCGGGCTGGGCCACTGGAGAAGGGGCCGGTGCTGGGGAGGGACCCCCATGTGCTGCGGTCAGGGTCCCCTGGCCCTGGTCAGGTGACAGAAGGCCCAGCCCAAACTGGCTAAAGAAAAGGGGACTTGTCTTTGGTGCCAAGAAGCCCGGGATGTGAGAGGAAGACTGGACACAGGGACCAGACAACCTCAGCTGGACCCAGGGCTCCGGGGCCCCTCAGCTCTGTGACCTCGGGTCCGCTTCCTGCTCAGAGGCAGCCCGCCTCCTGGTGACAAAGTGGCTGCTGCAGGGGGTCAGGCTCATGGGAAAGTGCCCCTGTTTCCCTGAGTCCCCGGGCTCAGTCACACCATCCACCTGGGCTCCGGGTGCAGTCAGTGCCCCCGCCCGCCAGACCGCAGGCCCGGGGTGGGGAGGCGGCCCCTCCCGGGGGTCTCGGCGGCCGCTGTAGGAAGCAGGGCGTGGACACAGGGCAGCTGGCGCTGCGGGGGTTACTTCAGCCACAGTAGATCATTTTCAACCCGCAGGGAAAACAGTGGTGTGTCAACAGCAAATCGATGAGGCAATTACTCTGTAATGAATCCCAAACCCTGTGAATTAAAGTGACAGGTGGCTCTGGCCTCCTGGGCTTTTCAGCCTCTGGACACCTTGGAAGGCTGTGCCCTGTGGCGAAAGGGAGGCCCCTGGGCTGGGGGTCACATCCCGTGCTCATCTGACCATTCAAACAGTGCTGCTCTGGGAGGCTGGCCTGTCCCCAGCCCTGCCCCCAGCTTGGTGGTGGTCGGGCCAGGAGGGGCCCGTCCCTCCCTCCTGCCAACCCCGGTCCTCTGTCCTGGCCCTTGGCTGGCGCCCACTCCTGTCCGAGCCGTGCCCGTGGGCCCAGACAGCCACGTGCCTGCCCCTCGCCAGCCCCTGCTCCCGGGGACACACCTCCAGGTGCAGGTGGGGGCCCCGTGCCTGGGGGGCCTTCCTCGCACCCACAGAACAGCCGTGGGTGGCACTTGTCACTGCGCCCTCCCGTCCCACACAGCAGCTTGGGGCGCGGTCCTCCCGGGAGCGGCCGGCTGCGTCCCTGGACTCTCTCGGCCTTCGCCTGTCCGTCCACGCGTCCACCCGCTCAGCATCGTCACTGCCTCTCTTGCAGGCTGACAGCGAAGGCCGTGGCCGTGCTGCTGCCCATCCTGGGCACCTCGTGGGTCTTCGGCGTGCTGGCCGTCAACCACCAGGCGGTGGCCTTCCAGTACATATTCGCCACACTCAACTCCCTGCAGGTGGGCACCCAGGGGGCCCGCGGATGGGCGGGCGCGCGGGGAGCTGGCTGGCGGGGGCGGGAGGAGGGCCCTCTCTCTGTGCTGTGCACACACCTGCGAGCCCGTGGCTCGGGGGCGTCCCCGAGCCAACCACACGCCAGGCCAGAGCTGCCCGTGCGGAACCTCGGGGGCACATGCCGGACAGAACTCAGGGGGTCCTAATGCCGCCCCCTCCCCTCCTCCTCAGGGCCTCTTCATCTTCCTCTTCCACTGTCTCCTGAACTCGGAGGTACGTCTGTCTGGGGAGTGGCTTTTCTCTTCTGAACCGGCGCGGAACAGAGGCAGCGCTGCCCGGCCAGGCTGGTGTGGGGACAAGTCGGGGACGGTGCCAGCCCCACCCGGCTCTTCCTGTTGCTAAGCGGCCTCGAAGCCCCCTCTGTTGCTCACGCCCTGCAGGGACGGAGGGTAGTGCGGGGTGGGGGCGGGAGAGAGGAGACTTGGGGTCTCGGGGAGAGGCGAGGTGTCCACATCCTCCTAAGCCTGCAGAGCCTTCGGAAACTGTCCCGGGTGCAGGGAGCAGGCCTCCCCATCGGGGCGGCCAGGGGTCGGCCAGGGGACCCTCAGTCATTCTCCTTGGTGCCACCTGGGGCACGGCACCTGCTCCGGTCACCCTGAGACAGTGGGCAGGGTGTCCCTCAGCCTCTAGTCCGTGGTCGTGGGGAAATAGCTCCGGGTGACACGTGGGGACAGGGCAGAAGCAACCCTCCCCACTGCCTTTTCGGTGGAGACAGGTGGGGAGGAGGCGCAGGGGTGGGGCGGGCAGGGTGTGTCACTGAGGAAGCTGGTGGCCCGTGGAAGGGGGGCCCTGTGATGCACAGCACAGGGAGCAGCCCAGGCGGGGCCCCCGGCGGTGACCCACGCAGGCGTCTGTGCGTTCACCCCCGTTTCCACGCCCTGCCACCGTGCGCCCCGTCCCCCTGTCCAGACGGTGAGGGCGCAGACCCAGCCGCTTCTCCCCACTCGGGGCCCAGCCCACAGGGGCACAGGGAGCCAGCAACACGGGGGGACAGCAGCCTCCACGCCCTGTCTGTCCCCTGCACCTGGCCCTCGGGGTCTCACGTCAGAACGGGCTCCCAGAGGCCAGTCACACTGCGCCCCGACTGCTACTGAGTCAGCCCCCGAGGTGGTTCTAACGCGCCACGTTCTGCCCTCCAAGGTGAGAGCCGCCTTCAAGCACAAGACCAAGGTCTGGTCCCTCAGCAGCAGCTCCAGTCGCAGCGCCCTCCCGAAGCCCTTCAGCTCCGACGTGGTGAGTGCCGGCGGTGCCGCTCTGACCCTCCCTGGGGGCCCGCGTCCCGGACCCTCACGGGCCCCTGGGCACTTCCCTCGCTGCCACCTGGACAGCGGTCCGGTCGCTGGCCTTGGAGTTGCTCTCCTGCTTCGCTGAGCCGCAAGCGGCCTCTGCCTGGCCAAGGGCGCTCAAGGGCTGCAGCCCTTGGTCTCGTAACCCTGAGCCCCTGCTGTCCCTCCCCCCCCCCACTCTGTGGGCTGCAGGGTCCCTGCGGCTGGTTCTTGCTCGGCCTCTCACGCCCGACCGTAGCCTGCGGGCCGTACAGGCCCCGGGCTGGTGCTGCGCCCACACTGGTCCCGGTCCCTGCCCAGATCACTTGGCCCTGTCTCCTGCTCCCACCGGGGTCAGTACTTCTCGTACCCACTGAGGGGGTGGAAGGACGTGCAGACCGCCTGACCAGGACGCAGACGTCCAGCACGCTGGTGGGTCCCGTGGGCACGAGGGGCAGCAGCCACACCGCCCCCAGGCCTTCCTCCCTGGGGGGCCCTCCCTGGGGGGGCCCTCACACAGCTGAGACGTTGGGTCTCTGTGCTGGAGGTTCAAACCCCCCATCCTTCAGCTCCTGGGGTGGGGGGGGTCACCTGTCTGTCCCCCACACCACACCCTGGGCAGCCTGGAGCCGCTGCGTCCCCTTACCTGTCACTTAGGCGCGCGCTCAGTGTCACCTCCTCCCCGGACACACTGAACGAGGCCTCTGCCCGTTTCACCACCTCTGCTCGTCCGTGGCTTTGCTCACTCCTTTGCCCCCTCCGGGGTGTTAACACCCTGGGGCCGGGACCCGGTGGGCTTGGGTCACGGCTGTGGTCCGGTAGCCAACACCAGTCACGGTGCACACGGGCAGGCAGACGGACAGATGGAGAGGGGAGGGAACGGAGGGAGGGCGGGAGAGATCGGCGAGTGAGTGACCGAATGGATGAAAGGGCGGGTGGGTGGAGGGATGATGGGTGGGGGGTGGACGGCTCTGATGCGGGAGCGAACAACGCACACCAGAACCAGGGAAAGACAAGGGAGGTGGGGGAAGGGCACCCTCTCCAGCTCAAGACCCTCATTTCTGGGGAGCCAGGAGCCCGGCCGGAAGGACCCTCGTGCAGCTTTCTGTCCCAAGGCCGGCCTTCCTCGCCCACCGGGCCCGGGGCGCTTGTCCAGGAGCAGGGTCCTCACCCCACACCCTCTGTGCTTCCCAGATGAACGGGACCCGGCCGGGCACAGCCTCCTCCAAGCTCAGCCCCTGGGACAAGAGCAGCCACTCTGCCCCCCGTGCGGACCTGTCCCCTGTATGAGCAGAGGCCCCCCGCTCAGCCCACAGCCTGGTGCACAGCCACAGGCGGACCCCCAGACCGGGTCCCCCTGCAGGCTGAGCGGTCCCCTGTCGTGCCGCACAGGCCTCCCCACATCACCGCCTGCAGTAGGCCCGGGGCTGCGGGTGCACGGGGCCCGGGGGCCTCGGCACCCGGAGGGGCCGCCGCACCTGCTCCAGGGTGGGGCTCGGGACCCTTCGAGGGGGGTTAAGGTCGCCGCGCCCCCCCAGGGTCAGGCCGAGTGGACAGGGAACGTGGGACAGAGAATGAGCAATGTGTCCCCCTGCCGAGGTCACCCAGCAGCAGGCTCACCGTAGCCAGGCTCCAGGCCCAGAGCCAGTCTCTGCGGCGATGCTGCGATGAGAGGTCTGTGCCGGGGTCCCCACCGATGCCGGGCTCGGCGCCGGACTTCAAGGCCACCGCTGAAGCTTCTCAGCCTGACCCTCCTGCGTGCTGATGCTTCAGACTCAGCCGCCTTCAAATACCGCCTTCTAGCACCCGAGCCTTCTGTTCCTGGTGGGCGGCCAGCCAGGGCCCGGCCAGATGTTTTCCGAGGCCTGACTCCCCTCGGGAGCCTCCCCTCATCACTCACAGACCCTGTTCCGCGTCTGATGCGCAGACTGCCGTCCGTCGCTGCCGTCTGTCTTCCGAGCTGACGTGAATCTGTGGACTCAGGCCCTCGGGCCGTGGAACCGTCACAACCCCGCGTGTGGTCAGGCTCCTGCACACGCCGGGCTTTGCCTCCGTGGACATGAGCCGGGCACAGCGGCGGTGTTTTGGAGTGGGTGGCGTCTGTGAAAAGCGTGCGCAGGAGTGCAGACTGGCTCTGACACCGGGAACTTCCTCGACACTGTGACCCAGCCCCTCCTCATGCCCCGCGCCCTGGTCACGTCGGTCGGGACCGTGGCCCACAGGCACCCCCACCGTGGCAGGAGTCACGCAGGCCGCACGTCCCCGGGGGTGAACTGCCATGTGTCCTCCCAGCGAGGTCCCAGGAGCACCAGCCGACAGGCGTGTGAGACGGTGCCACCGCCTGGCGCCGGCCCCTGGCTGGTGCGGTGGAGACCCCCAGGCGTGCTGGGCAGTCCCGTGTGCCGGTCCGTCCTGCCGTGAGCACCCCGAAGTGAGAACACTGTATTCCTAGGATTTACACCCGGATTTTGTTTTCCTGCTCCGCTCCCGGTGAAGCGAACTGCGTAGGAACTGTCTGCACGGACTCTCGTCTGTTAGCGGTGCTCACTCTCCGTCGCTGGTGCATCAAGAGACGCTGCGGACAAACCTGCTTCCAGTGAGTGAAGAGTGCACTCTGCTTCTACGCCACATGTTCTGGCTTCTGCGACATTTTATCCCCTACGTGTGATCTGGCCGAAGATAAAACGGGACGGAATCGTGTGTCAGAGCAGCGTCCAGCCCAGACGAGGAACGGCGCTGCGCAGAGGAACCGTACGGGGACTTTGATGCAGTAAAACCTTCGTGTGCGTCACACAGTGGGTGTGGTCTGGCGTCTTTGCTTGCGGAGGGGTCAGCAGAACCGTGAGTCGCTCGACAGAAATTCAAAGAAAAACGCACATGGGCCGCATCCACACAGGACGCCCACGTTGCAGCTCGGGGACCCGGTGACAGGCGACGCCCCTCGCCTGCTGTCACGGGAGCCACTTGCTGGGGGTGTGGGGACACGGCCAGTGTCACAGAGGGGACAGGAGGCGGTGTGCACGGGGACGGTGCCTCCGCCCAGCTGTGGGTCGCTCAGGCTCACACCCCTCCTGGCCCCCCGCCCGCCTGCTCCCGAGTCCTCGCCCACGGGGAGACGTGACCCACATGGCCCGACGTCACGCCCGTGGTGCCGCCATCTGCCTTCCCACGTCAGGCTCCCCGGAACCCTTCTCCACACCCCCACACGCTGCCCAGGGTGCGCAGTGAGGTGCGTGCCCCCCCCGGGGGGGTGCCGTTCTGTGGGAGCCTGTCTCACGACGCGGTGGTTCCCGTGTTTGTCACACACGTGTAACAGAGTGTTTTATTGACACACATGGCTGTACATGCCTTAATCAGTATCGCACCTATCTATACAGTCTGATCGATCGATAGACACCGATTTTTTAATGTCTTTCTGCTTATGGCTCGTTTCTTCCTCTATTGATTATTTCGCAGATTAAAATGTCGAAATTGGATTTCTGCTTCAGAAAGAGTAGATAATTCCCTGAGTCATGACACATTTTGCTGAAATGGTTGTTGCATCTGTTCCCAGGGCAGCGGTGGCTCACTGACGTCCTCCCCGGTCAGAGTTTCACCGGCACCGACCGTGTTGTCGTGGCTGTTTCTGTCGCCGGTTAGGACGTGAGACCACCACGACCTGCACTTCCTCACACTCCTGCTCCCCCCCCCCCCCGACCACGGTGTCTTTCTAGGAGCCTGGACCCTGGCATGATGCCGGGTGGACCCTGTGGGGACAGTGCGGGGAGCTGGTCACGGCCGGCCTCAGCAGGTGCCGGAGCGAGCGGTGCCCTCGCTTCCTCGACTCCTGCCCTTCACGGCCTGCCCCGCTGTCCCCTGAAGGGCGGGGAGGGCCCCACGGCACTGACCGCCACTTGCCTGGGGCTGGCGGACGGGGAGGGGTGCGGGCCGGTCCCAGGGTCCTCCCCGGCCCCCCACGGGCGCCCGCAGCCCGGGTGTGAGAAGAGCGTGGCCTCCTGGGGCTGCCCAGTGAGCAGGGCGGGGGCCGGACCCCCGGGGCCTGTGGACAGCTCGCTGCTCCGATGTCCCCTGTCGGGCTAAAAGCTGTGTCTGTCACTTCAACTGCAGACAGCTCCGCCCCTGGTTCTGCTCCTGGTTTTACAGGCAGAGTTTTGGGAGATTTTTCCTCCCTGGCGCACCGACGCTCCCCCTCCTCTCCTGGCTCAGCCCCCACCCAGGGCCGCAGCCTCGGCCTTTCAGAGGACGAACCCTCACCCACCGTCCAACGGTTGTCCCCACAGTGCCTGCCACATGGGGGGGGGGAGTTCTGGAAACAGTGGAGGGGACACCGAACAGTCTGATGGGGACAATGACCGGGTGGGGGCAGGGGACAGATTTGGGTCACTAACTATGGGTACAGTGACCCCAGGCAGTGACAGGCGTGCTGAGGACAAGACTGCCGGGCAGTAGATAGGCGGGGGTGTGGAGGGGTTACTGTGAGGCGTGTAAAGAGGCGTGCGAAGGCACAGCTGAGCGTGGCAGGCGCAGGCACGCGCACTGACCCACAGGGAGGTCAGGGAAGGGCCCCTGGGAGCGGGCAGTCCAGCCGAGGTCTTGGGGCAAAGGACCAGGGAGACGGTGCCACAGGACGGAGGGGCTGAGGGGCACCTGGGCGTCCAGTGGAGAGGGGAGCCGCTGCCACAGGGGACAGAGACGGACAGGTGTCTGGGGCAAGGTGGGCAGGGCCAGCTCCCCATGGGCTTTGGCCAAGGTCAGGGGTTGGAGCTCCACCCTGATTCTGGTGAGGAGCCCCGTGGTCTGGGGAACAAACCTGTGCGGTAACCCGTGTGCACACGGGTGTGGCATCGCCCTGGCAGGCCGCCTCACGCACCACCCTCCGGCCCACAGGCCCCCGACTCCCGGTTCAGCTCGTGGCTCCAGCTCGGTCTCCACCAGGTGGCAGCCCGTGCAGTTTGCAGACAGGAGCCCCGTGGCTGCTCTGACCCGACCGGGACCCCAGAGAAGCTCCCAGGGGCTCGGGGCATGGAGCTGCCTCACCGCCCCCACCTGCCCCAGGACGGAGCTGGGACTGTCAGAACTCTGCTGAGTCACCGGGAGTTACTTAGGGACAATTTTTGTAGTTCAGTGAACTTCCTGCAGAACTTCATGTGTTTTGTATAAATTTTAACGTTAATATAAAGGATGCTGGGTTTTCAACACAGAGACCGCTTCCAGAGTGAAGCCACTTTAAATAATTCAGAGGAAGTGTGGGCACCACGTGGAGAGGCTTCTGCGTGAGGACAGCACGTTCTACTTGCGGATTATTTATTCCTTTAATTTCCCCTCAAACGCAATCACAAATCCATATTATTAGATTTTAAATGAACATTAATTTCCAAGGAAGTGGATCTTCTGGTTTCCTAGGGAAAGGCTGAGGCGGGGAGGCTACAGTTCTCTGACTTCTGGGGCGTGGGAGTGGGTACCGGGGTCCGGGGGCAGGTGCTGGACACTCAGAGCCCCGCCCTCCCCAGGGGCAGGAGGTCGGCTGGGATCGGGGGTCTTCCTGGGCAGGAGCAGCCAGGGAGGGGCAGGGGCAGGACCTGGGCTGAGTGGGGGTGGCAGAGCGGGCCACTGGCCAGGGGGCAGGTCTGTTCCAGCAGAGGGCTCAGCTTTGAGGCCCGAAAGGCCAGTGGGCGCGAGGGGGCCGCTGTGGGGCCAGGGGGGCTCCGTTCCCCTCCCCAGGGGCAGAGCTTTCTTCTCTCTGAGGCCCCTCACCCCCCACAGCACACAGTCCTGGCTCCCTGTCCCTCCGACTTCCCCACACCCGCCATCCCCACAGGCCCCGGCCCTGCTGACCTGAAGTCCCGGGATCGTGGGGACGCAGGCTGAGGGGTCCTGTGAGCAAGGGGACGGCCAGGGAGAGTGGGGGCAGCCCCCCTCCAGCGCCGACTCCCCCTCCAGAACCACAGGAGCTCCTGGGGCCGCTGCTCCCACCAGGGGCCGGTCCCTTAATCTCGGGGCTGGGGGGTGGTTTTGTCACTCCCTGAATTATTAACCTGAGAGACAAGGCGCAGGGGGTCCCTCCAGGGGGGGGGGGCTGCCTGAGGAAGGGGGCGGAGCCCCTCCGGCCTCCAGGACCTGGCCTGAGGCTTCCGGAGGCCCCAGGCGCCCAGGTGTCCAAGGGCAGCTACGCACTGTCCCCAACCCGTCCCTCTGGATACCAGCTTCCACTTTTAGGCGCAACAGTGGGCAAACTCTCCCGGGCGTGACTCGGAGGTCAGCCGGCCCTCTGCTCCCACAGGGTCCGCGGTCCACGGCCCCCTTCCCGGGATCTGTGGTCACGAGCCATTGGGGCCCCCCCCCCGAAGCCCGAACTCCCCCGGAGACGCCGTCAGGAGGAAGGTCCGTTCCAACCCGCTGCAAAGACGCAAAGCTGTGCCCTGGAGGCCCCCAGGGACACTGTTCTGTCCCCACAAGGACTTCGTGCGAACGGATGTCCCTGAAGCAGAACTCTGTTCGCCAACCAGGACACCGGCCTCCACGGTGCTGCCGGGCCGCGCGGCCGCACATCCGGGGGCGGGGAGCCTGCGGCGGGGGTGCCCGGGTGCGGGTGGGCGTCCAGGGCTGAGGACGCGGCACCGCAACCACGAAGGGGACCGCCTCGAGCACAGAGGCTCCGCGTAGCCATGGAAACCACAAAATCTGACCAAGAAAATGAACGCTGAATGTAAAGTGTTTGTTCCATTTTAATGTGAGTAGAATTTAAGCCTGTTCCCTGCGCTATTTCATTGTCTGGTGGCAACAATAACGCTTTTCTCCCTCCTGGCTTTTTTCTGGGGTGGACTGGGGTTTCCTTGTGCACATGGGGGGGGGGGCCTGGTGCCCTTCACTAGTGTGGCCTGTCCCAGGCCCCCCGGCCCCTGGTCTCCCAGGACCACGGCTCTGCTGGCAGAGCCTCTCCAGGGTCTCTGCTCTGGGGCTGTGACCTGTGTTCCCCGGATTCCAGGTCCCAGCCAGGCTTCAGTGGGAGGGAGGAGCCCCCTGCCCCCCCCCCCTGGGGCTGGCCAGGCTGCGTCTGGGGGAGGGAGTGCAGTCTGGTGGCTTCTCACAGAACTGAAACCGCTGACCGTGCGCCCCAGCGATGGAGCGCACCAGTGTTGGCCCACTGGAGACTCGTTTGCTAAGGGATCAATGCCTGAAACACGAGGAACTCATGTGAGTGCACAGCCAGTAATGTGCTTAAAAAACAGGCAGGTGACATGGAGACGATTGTCCAAAGAGGACACACAGAGGGCCCACAGACTTCCGAACAGATGCTCAAGGTCACTAACCATCAGAGATGCAAATTTAAGCCATGATGAGATCTTCCCGCCCACCTGTCAGAATGGCCGTCGTGGATAAACAGGTGATGGTGAGGGAGTGGAGGAGGGGACCCCCGTGCACTGGGGGTGGGAAGGCACAATGGTGGGTGCAGCCCCCGTGGGAAAGTGTGGCGTTGCCTCAAAAATCAAAAACAGCACCGCCCTTCCCTTGGTCCCAGCAGCGGGCACCGGGCCTGGCGGAGGGAGAAACTGCAGCACGGCCTCCCTTGGGGGTGGGGGCTAAAAAAGCCGAACTGGAGGACACGGCGAGTGGGGGGCGGGCGGGGGCCGGGGAGAGAGGGAAGCGCTGGCGGAGGGCGCGAACGCGCAGTTCGAACAAGAGCAGGGCCCGGGGGCGGGGGTCTGCCGTGCAGCGCAGGGCCGGAGCGAAGATTAAGTACCTGAATGCTGCCTCCCATCCCCCAAAAGGAAATGGCCATCGTGGGGGGGGGGGGCAGGCGTCCGCCTCTGCAAACGTGGCGGCAGCTCTGCGTCCCTCTGTCTGGACGCGGCTGGAAAGGAGCCGGCGGGCGGCAGAGACGCGGAGCAACCGCAGCTGCATATCATTACGTGAAAGGAGCCCTGATGTCACCGTGGGCCCCGGGTGATGATGATGTGACCCCACGGAGCCACCGGTGGTGACAGAGGCACCACCTGGCGGGGCAGCGGGGGAGGGGTGTGTGGAAAATCTCTGTATGGTTCCCTCAGTCCCGCTGTGACCCTGAAACCTCTCTAATAGCAAAGTTCTTTGAAGTAACAACTCATCTTTCACTTACCTAAATGCAAGGAAATGGCCCACGACGGCCCCGGAGCTACAGCCAAACACGGCAGCGGGCCAAGGACTCTCTGACTCAGGCTCAGGACGCCCCGGGGACAGACGCTCAGGACGTCTGTCCCAATCGCACACGCAGCGCCCCGCCCCCAGGCTGAGTGAGTCTCCTGGGCAGCAGGGACCCCCCACAGCCCCCAGGAGAGCCCAGGCGTCCCTGGGGCATGAAGCTCAAGGGCACCTGCAGACCCCTCCTGCCCCCACCCGCACGGGACCTGTCAGAGCAGAGGAAACTGACTGGCCAGCAGGGCCCCCAGGGGCCGGAATCCCCCAGACCCAGCACAGAGCAGGTCCTGCTCCAACCTGAGACCTGTCAGTCCTCCCCTGTGCCCCCAGTCCCCACACTC